GTGAGTGTGACTACTGCCGTGTAGGTGAGTGTGACTGCTCCTTGTGTACATGGGATGACTACTGCTGTGTACATGGGTGGGACTACTGCTGTGTACATGGGTGGGATTGATGTGTACGTGCCTATGACTGCTGCTGTGTACATGGGGTGACTACTGTGTACATGAGTGTGACTGCTCCTTGTGTACATGGGATGACTACTGCTGTGTACATGGGTGGGACTACTGCTGTGTACATGGGTGGGATTGATGTGTACGTGCCTATGACTGCTGCTGTGTACATGGGGTGACTACTGTGTACATGTGTGTGACTGCTGTGTACATGAGTGTGACTGCTCCTTGTATACATGGGGTGACTACTGCTGTGCACATGGTGTGACTACTGCTATGTGTGAGTATGACTACTGCTGTGTCCATGTGTGTGACTGCTGTGTACATGAGTGACTGCTCCTTGTGTACATGGGGTGACTACTGTGAACATGTGTGTGACTACTGTGTACATGAGTGTGACTGCTGCTGTGTACATGCGTGTGAATGCTGCTGTGTACATGTGTGTGACTACTGTGTACATGAATGTGACTGCTCCTTGTGTACATGAGTGTGACTGCTCCTTGTGTACATGGGGTGACTACTGCTGTGTGTGTGAGTATGACTACTGCTGTGTCCATGCGTGTGGCTTCCCCTGCTCAGGTTGGTCTCCGTTTGTGTGGATGATATTCTCTATCCCTTGCTTTCAGTCTATGTGTGTCTCCATCAGTGAAGGCAGTTTCTTGTAGAGAGCAGGTAAATCTTGTTTCTTTGTTTAATCCATTTAGCTGATCTGTCTCTTTTAATCAGTTGTGTCATTTAATCTGTTTACATTCAAGGTTGTTATTGCTAGGTAACAACTTACTCCCATCAGTTTCCCTTCAAGGTTATTATTTTTGAAAATATTTATTTAAGAGACAGAGGGGAATGGAGACCTTCCATCTGCTGTTTCATTCCCTCCCAATGTCCCACAACAGCTGGGGCTGGGCCAGGCAGAAGCCAGGAGCCAAGGACTCCACCCACATTGCCCACATGTTGCTGGGGACGCAAGGACTTGAGCCATCACCTGCTGCCTCCCAGAGTGCACATGAGCAGGAAGCCAGGACTGAGGGCAGAGCCAGGGTTGAACTTGGGTGTTCAGGTGTCTCAAGCCAGCATCTTCAGTGCTGTGCCAGAGCCTGCCTCTTAATGTCATCACGGTAGATAACAACCTACTCCTGTTCTATTAATTATTTTACTGTTGTTTTATATTTCCTTTGTTCCTTTCTCACTCTTGTTATTAATCTTTGTGTTTTTCTTTTCTGATACTTTCTGCTTACTTTCTGTTTCTCATTTGTGTATCTATTCTACCAGTGAGTTTTATATTTTCTTTTTTTTTAAGATTTATTTTATTTATTTGAAAGAGTTACAGAGAGAGGTAGAGACAGAGAGAGAGGTCTTCCATCCGCTGGTTTACTCCCCAGATGGCTGCAACAACTGGAGCTGCGCCGATCCGAAGCCAGGAGCCAGGAGCTTCTTCCAGGTCTCCCACCTGGGTGCAGGGGCCCAAGGACTTCGGCTGTCTTCCATTGCTTTCCCAGGCCATAGCAGAGAGCTGGATCAGAAGAGGAGCAGCCGGGACTTGAACCAGCACCCATATGGGATGCTGGCACATCAGGCCAGGGCTTTAACCTGCTGCGCCACAGTGCCAGCCCTGAGTTTTATATTTTCATGTGTTTTTGTGATGGCAGTTATTATTCTTTTGCTTCTAGATGGAGGACTCTTGAATATTTCCTGTGAGGCTGATGAATTCCCTTGATCCTTTTTTTTTTTTTTTTTTTTTGACAGGCAGAGTTAGAGAGAGAGAGAGAGTTATAGACAGTGAGAGAGAGACAAGAGAGAAAGGTCTTCCTTTCATTGGTTCACTCCCCTAATGGCCACTACGGCCGGCATTGCACCGATCCGAAGCCCGGTCTCCCATGCGGGAGCAGGGACCCAAGCACTTGGGCCATCTTCCACTGCCCTCCTGGGCCACAGTAGAGAGCTGGACTGGAAGAGGAGCAACCGGGACTAGTACCTGGTGCCCCAATTGGACTAGAACTCGGGGTGCTGGCGCCGCAGGCAGAGGATTAGCCAAGTGAGCTGTGGCGCCAGCCAAATCCCTCGATCCTTGTGTCTTAGAAAGACTGTTTCTCCAAGCTAGCTTTGCTGGGTATCGTGTTCTTTTTTTTTTTTTTTCTTTAAATATTTTTATTTTGTTTATTTGAAAAGCAGAGTACACACACACACAAAGGGAGAGAGACAGACAGACACAGAGAGAGGTCTTCCATCTGCTGGTTCACTCCCCAAATGGCCACAATGGCCAGGGCTGGGCCAGACCAAAGCAAGGAGCCAGGAGCTTCATCTGGGTCTCCCATGTGGGTGCAGGGGCCCAAGCACTTGGGCCACATTCCACTGCTTTCTCAGGGCATTAGCAGGGAGCTGTATCAGAAATGAGCAGCTGGGACTCAAAACAGTACCCATGTGGGATGCTGACGTCACAGGAGGCTTTCCCTGCTGTGCATAGCACTGGCCCTGGTGTGCTTGACTGGCAGCTTCTGTTCCAGCACTCTGGATGTCTTATCCCACTCTCCTGCTCGCAAGGTTCCTGCTGAGAAATCTGCTGTTAGTCTGATGGGAATTCCCTTCCGTGTGTCTTAATGTTTTCTCTTTTAGTTTTGAGAGCTTGATTATAACCTGCCTTAGAAAGGACCTCCTTGTGAGTTTAGTAGGGGGTTTTCTGAGCTTCATTGATATGTATGCCATCTCTCCCAAGACCTCAGCAGTTACATTAAAATATGTTTTGTGCCTTTCTCCATCTCTTCTCCCTCTGGAATTCCCATCACGTGGATGTTTGTTTTTGCCTCAAAGATCCTGAGGGCATTCTTCACTCATTCTCTTTCTCAGATGTTCTTTGGCTTATCTTGTTTTTGGTGACTCTCATTTATATTTTTTTCATTTCATTCATTGAATTCTTCAGCTACAGGATTTCTGTTTGGTTCTTTTCTGTATCTTTGCTGAGTTTCTCTTTCAAATCATGAATTGTTTTCCTGATTTCACTGAATCGTCTGTGTTCTCTTGTGTGTCAGTGAGTTTCCTTTAGACCATTATTTTAAATTCATTTTCAGGAATTTAATAAATTTCCTTTTCGCTCAGCCTGTTACTGTAGAAGTATTTTGCTTCCTTGGTGATACTGTGTCTCCCTGCCTTTTCATATTTCTTGTGTTCCTATGTTGATATTTGTGTAGTTAGAGTAACACTTATTTTTTCCAATTTTATGGTTTATTTTTCTGTAGGAAGATATTTTTTCTTGTGGATGTGTGCTAGGGTGTCAGTTTGGCATAGCATGCTAGCTTTGATTCTCAGTGGACACAGGATTCTGTGTATTCTCTTCAGCTGTAGTTCTCATCGGTGATGCCTACAGTTGCGTCAGTGTCTTGGGTTGAAGGTGTTTTGATGCAGTGGTGTAGTAGGGGTGAGGCCCCCATGCCTGTAGGTGCTGCGGCTTGGCAGCTGTGTGGCCGACTCTCCATAGGCTGGGGCTGCTGGCTGGCTGTTGGGCTGGGCTTAGGTACATGTAGGTGCTATGAGTCAGCTGTCTATGCAGCAAGACCTCCAGGGGCCAGGGGCCTGGGTTAGGTTGTGCTTGGACTCTGGGGCCTACTCAACTGTGTGGGACACCTGCTTGGGAGCACATGGATGCTTCAGACTGGCTGACTGTGTGGATGACTTACTGGGGAGCAGAGCCACCTCCTGGCTGGCTGCTGTGAGTGGGGCCTGCTGGCTGTGTGCTGGGCTTTCTTGTGTGGGGGTGCTGCGACCTGCCTGGCTGTTGGGCTGGGTGCAAGTACACACAGGGATGTCGGGCTGTTGGCTGTTGGCTCCGCTCTGAGCAAGTTCACCTGTTCCCTTGAGGACAGCGTGTCGGGTGGTTTTGGAAGCCAAGCCTTTCTGTTGAGCCTGGGCTCCGAGTAGCTGGGGAGATGTTCCTGCAGCCTCTTGTGAGAGCATGATGGAGTGAAGGTGGCATCACTGGAATGGAGGCACACTTTGGCTGCCAGTCCCCAGGGTAGGGTGCCCTCTGGCAGTTGGTCTGGTTACAGGACAGTGCTGAGCCACAGCGCTGGGGAACCTGAGCATGTGCACTCTGGGCAGCTCTCCAGAGTGTTGGGGCCTCTGTGGGCGTGGGATTCTCCTGTGTAGTCTCTGCAGCAGCAGCTGGGACTGCTGGGGGTCTGCAGCCTCTCTTCCTCATGAGGACTCTGTTGGCTCCACGCCTTTCTGGGTGAGGGTCCGTGAGGGGGGCTGCCCTGCTTTCCTCTGTTTTTTTTTCCCCACTCCTCTTCTTCCCTCCCGCACTGCAGTTGAAATGTCACTGCAGTTGAAATGTGGTGGTTTATTTGATGGGGTCCCTTTCATAGTGGGGAACAAGTGGCAGAGAGCTCTGGCATCTTGCTGACATCACCCCGTGCCATCCTTCTGAGTCCTGTCCTCCCTTCTAACCCCTTCCTTGTTCTCCTGAGATAGAAGGAGAAGGGGTACTCGTAACACATGTGCTGGTTCAGAGGCCCCCAAGTTCCCACCGACTCCTGTCCCCACTCACTACTGCCTCTCACGAAGCAGCTCCAGGTACAGCTGGAGTTGGTTTGAGATGTGGCTCAGGCTTGGACTCAGGTAAAGGACAGGTTTATTGCCTGGCTAGGGGCTCTGTGTCCATTGGGAGCTGAAGGAGTGGTCATGGGGTGAGCATCACTACCACATCCTGGAGAGAGCTTTTGGATTCAGTTCTCATCTGGTCCACCCCACGCCCAGCACTGCATCTCTGCTTGGAGACGGGGACAAGGGCATGAAGGTGTCACACGTCTTGGGTGGAAAGATGTGGATTGCGGAAGCAGTGTGTTTTCTTCTGATAGGCTCAATGTGGAAACCCTCACTTTTCTTCTTCTTGTTCCTGCCAGGATTCTTGCCACAGCCGGAACCGACTTCGACCTGCGAACGCTGAGGGCTGTGCGTGTGCTAAGGCCCCTGAAGCTGGTGTCTGGGATTCCGAGTGAGTCCAGTGAAGATGGTCAGGCCCATGCCTGCCTGGAACACAGCCTCCACCCCCACCCTCCCCATGGCGTGGTGCAGTGATGCCCTCACCAGTGGTCCTCTGGCTTTGGGGACTCTGAACTCAGGGAACCACACAGGTAGAAGGGAGCCTGTCCCTTTCTCCTGGAAACCCGGAGGGTGGCCCTGTTTTGCCCCGGCCTGGCTCTCCCAGGTGGCTCCTCCTCAAATACTCTGCTGTACATCCAGCTCTTTGCTTTTTTTTTCAGGGGGACTAAAGAATTAATGAGATTGACCAAGGTGGTGGGGCAGGATGCTGAGAAAAATATTCAAAAGCTACCAACTGGCCACCTGTCTTGGCTCAGTACTGACAAGGCCTGTGGGGCCCAAGAGGAGCCATAAGCCATGCTCCTAGAATGGATCACTCCAGGGAACCAGCATGGCAGGAGGATGGCCAGTGGCTCTTGTGAGCCAGTGACCATCCTGGCTCCTGGGATGTTTGCTTTTAGGTTAGCAAAGGGACTGGATAGGCAGGGACGTAGCTCTGTGTTCTCCTGAGACCATTGCAGGAAGGGTCAGCTCTCTGTTCTGCCCTGAGATTCTGCCAGGCAAGGGCTCTGTCCTGTACCCAAGACCTGGGACAAAGCCGGAAGGGGGAGGGGTCATAGGATTACAGCCTCCTCTGTCCAGTTTATCTTCCGTCCAGTTCCTATACCTCCTCATGTCCTATGTCCAGTGGCAAACATCCTCCCATTTTGGAGGAGAAGGGACCTGCCCCTGCCCCACTTTCCCCAGGAGTTGGGTCATTTTAGGAACCACAGTATTTCCTTCCAGGATCTCCTGGTCTTTCCTCCCCCACGTTCTCTGCTCTTCCTTCCCGGGATTCCCTGCTTTTTACTCCTAAAATACTTTGGTTTTTCCTTCCAGGATTCCCTGCTGCTAGGTTCCAGTATTCTCTGCTTTTTAAAAGATTAATTAACTAATTAATTAATTTGAAAGTCAGAGAGATACAGAGATCTTCTATCCACTGGTTCACTCCCCCAAAGGACCACAACCACCAGGTCTGGGCCAGGCAGAAGCTGGGAGCCAGGAGTTCCATCCTGGTTTCCCAAATGAATGTCAGGGAACCATCTGCTGCCTCCCAGGCATATTAGCAGGAAGCTTGATCGGGGCTTTGAGCAGGCACTCTGATTTGGGACGCCAGCCTCCCAAGAAGCTATGCCTGCTTTCTTACCTAGAGTATTCTCTCAGATTCCCTCATCTTCCCTCCCAGGGTCCCCTGCTCCTGGCTCCCAGCATTCTCTGCTTTTCTTTCTCAGGATTCCCTCATCTTCCCTCCCAGAGTTCCCTGCTTTTGGCTTCTAGCATCCTTTGTTTTTTGTTCTCAGAATTTCCTCATTTTCTTTCCCAGGGCCCTCTGCTCTTGGCTCCCAGCATTCTCTGCTTTTCTTTCTCAGGACTCCCTCATCTTCCCTCTCAGGTTCTCCTGCTCCTGGCTGCCAGCGTTCTCCGCTCCCTCAGTTTTCTCACATCTTCCCTTCCAGGGTCCCTTGCCACTGGTGGTCACAACTCTCTTCATTGTTGGGATTCCTCCATCTTTCCTCCCAGTGTGCCCTGCTCTTGGCTCTCGGAATTCTGTCCTTTCTCAGGACTCCCTCATCTTCCCTCCCAAGATCCCCTGCTTTTGGTTCCTAGCATTCTTTGCTTTTGTTCTCAGGGTTCCCTCACTGCCCACTCAGGACTCCCTGAGTTCCATTCTCTTCCCTTTAGAGATTGTTTGCTCTTATCTGACCCCAAGCACTCTGTAGCTCCATAGGCTCTCCAGCTTACACCCTCTGCCCTGGACTTCACGCACTGATGCCCACACTCCGCCCCCCCCCCCCACCTGGAGGCGTTGCTGCAGCCACTCCACCCCCTCCCAAGCACCCTGACCTCTGTCCTCCAGGACTCACCATTCTGTCTTCCTCCCCAGTGTCCCCTGCTGTGTCCTCTGTCTTTTGCCCCCATGAACAAGCACTGCCCACCCCTTGCCCAGAACCCGGCATTGCCCTCCGGAGGTCTTGTCCCTGCCCTCCCCTCCCTGCTCGGTAGCTGTGCCCTGACTGCCCTGCTCTGCCTGCTCTGGCCCCAGGCTTGCAGGTGGTGCTCAAGTCCATCATGAAGGCCATGGTCCCGCTGCTGCAGATCGGGCTGCTGCTCTTCTTCGCCATCCTCATGTTTGCCATCATCGGCCTCGAGTTCTACATGGGCAAGTTCCACAAGGCCTGCTTCCCCAACAGCACAGGTGAGGCCCAGCAGCAGCCTCTGGGCTCAGATGAGGCCGCAGACTCATGCATCCAGGAGACAGGCGCAGTTGAATGGGTTAAGGGGACTTCTGGGGGCCAAATGAGACAGCTTCTGTTCAAGTGGAAGACACAGGCATCTGACACATACCACAAAACAAATGCATAAATATAGATTATAGTAACTGTAGGAAGGAAACAGAAGATATTTGAAATGGAATGACTTGGGGTGTGCTTTGCAGAGCATGGCCAGGGTGGCCTCTGTGCTAATGACAGCCAAGTAGTGATCTGAATGCAGTGAGGGGCAGCCTTAGTTACCAGGCACGGTGAATAGGGAGTTCATTGAGGAGCAGGGAGGACAGGGACCTGGATTTGTGGCCGTGGTCACAGACTCTGAGGCTTCCTCAGAGAGAAGTGGCAGGATCGTGGGGCTCTGGGTGAGGAGTCAGCCTCTGGCCTTTCTGACTGGACTGGAAGAGCTCTCTGTCCAGGGTTAGGTCGAGGTAGTGCAGTGGTCACATTTAGGGTCTGCTCAGCAGCATTTTCCAAGAGGGTCGTTTGTGGAGGGTGAAGGAAAGAGAACTGTTAGGGCAGCACAAGGCTTGGGTCTGAGCTGCAGACACATCAAGGAGAAAGCCTACACGATCATCTCTTAGATGCCGAAAAAGCCTTTACCAGAATTTAAGTCATTTATGATTTTTAGAAACATGAATCAGACTGTAAATAAAAAGATATTTTCTTAAATTCTCTAAAATCTCCTGCAGACCTCATACTTCATTCTAAGTCTTGAGATCTTTCCCTTTCAAGCTAAGAAGACAAGAGACCCGCCTTCACCTGCAGTCTGTGTGGTGTTGGTAGCGTGGCCAGGAAGAGGAAAGCTCTGTCAGGAGTCAGGGTGACGCAGAAGTGCTTTCACTTTCAGAGCCTGCTGCTGTCTCCACGTAGACAGCGACTTCCTGGTCTTCCCTACAACCTTCTGGAGAGGGAGGAATAAACTCGTGTGGTCAGTCAGTTTTGCCTTCTAAACCTCAGAATACATGCTTTCCATCCTAGTGACCCCTAAAAGCCTCCCATGTGTGGACAGGTGGGATTTCCATGTGCTGTCACACAATTTTTACAGTGTGTTTTCCTGCCTTGTGGGTTTGGGCGGGAAGGAGGGCAGCATGTGCTGCTTGCTCTCTGGTCCTGGAGGCCCGCAGTGGTTTTCTGCATCTCTTGACTCCTCTCTGGGTGGCCCCTGGCTGCACATCAGCGGAGGGGCTCCATTCTGCAGGGGCCAGGAGGTCGTGGTCATGCTCTGGGCACAGGCTGGGCTGGTTTGTCATCCTGCCTGACAAGCTCTGGGTGCTGGCTCCTGAGTGACAGCTAGATCTGCTGTCAGGAGGATGCTCTGGCAACTTGGCTGTGAGGAAAAGGGGATGGCTGGGTGGCAGTGGTAGGGGAAACTGCAGATCAGGGGTGAGCTGGTTTTGATTCGAAGATGGCTGAGTCCTGAGCCTGTTTCAGTGTTGACAGGTAGGTTCCAGGACCAAGAGGGAGGCTGACCTAGTTCCTGAGAGGTAGGTCCTGAGCTCAGACGGAGGCAGAGTGCAGGCAGGGGGAGAGACCCAGTGCAGGTGCGAAGTGGCATTGTGGAGCAGTCTGTTGGAGCCTGACGCCCGGCCCAGGCATCCCACTGGGGGTTGGAGAACTTGGTGTCTCTGAGCTTAGAGTCTGCTTCGTTCTCCTCCTTACAGACCCAGATCCCGTGGGTGACTTCCCCTGTGGCAAGGAGGCCCCGGCCCGGCTCTGTGAGGGAGACACGGAGTGCCGGGAGTACTGGGCCGGACCCAACTTTGGTATCACCAACTTTGACAACATCCTGTTTGCCATCTTGACCGTGTTCCAGTGCATCACCATGGAGGGCTGGACTGACATCCTCTACAATGTGAGTTGTATCCTAGTGCTGGGCCTGGGCTGGGCCCTGGAACTCCTGGCTGGGTCCTCTGGGAGCGCCATGTGGGATACCACTTCTGATCTAAGCGCCTCTGACACCTAGGGTGAAATGCAGGCCTATTCCTCCAGACGCTCCATCACAGGGGTCCCATGGTCCTTTCAACCCATGTTCTTGACCTGGCTCTTCCTGGAGTCGTCTCTGGTCTCCCTGAGGGCTGGGTGCCAAAGCTCACCCAAGAAAACTCCAGAGAGGATGCTGCTGTTGCTGTTGGTGAAGCCAACCACAGCTCACTATGGTCATAGATGCTCACTGTGGACTCAATCCCCGCTTGCCCATACCCAGTATTTTGTCACCTCAGGAGCCTCGTTGCACTGAGTCCGAGGAAGCCCCTCAATCTGAGTGCCAGCAGACCCGTAGCAGCTCACTGTTAACCCCTGGCTGCTCTCCCTTGGGGGTCTTCTGGAGGCACTCAGGGTCAGTGAGGCCTGCTGGCCCTCTTATTGTATCATGCTGCCTGGTGAAGATGGCGAGGGACAGGGCAGGGCTTTGGGGCTACCCTGAGCTGAGGCTCAGCAATGCTTCCCTGGTTTTGCTGAGATTCTTGGGGCAGAAGCTGGGACAATCCATTTGTTTCCATCACTCCTAGTGTACCAGGTCCTGTTTTCTCTCTCTCTCTCTCTCTCTCTCTCTCTTTTTTTTTTTTGACAGAGTGGACAGTGAGAGAGAGAGACAGAGAGAAAGGTCTTCCTTTTGCCATTGGTTCACCCTCCAATGGCCGCCGCGGCTGGCGCACCACGCTGATCCGATGGCAGGAGCCAGGTGCTTCTCCTGGTCTCCCATGGGGTGCAGGGCCCAAGCACTTGGGCCATCATCCTTCACTGCACTCCCTGGCCACAGCAGAGAGCTGGCCTGGAAGAGGGGCAACCGGGACAGAATCCGGCACCCTGACCGGGACTAGAGTCCGGTGTGCCGGCGCCGCAAGGCGGAGGATTAGCCTATTGAACCACGGCGCCGGCCCCCTGTTTTCTCTTTGATCTCAGCAGTTTAGGGTGGTCTGGGTTTGGTGGCTAAGGTCCTGGTGCTGCCTGGGACCCCCTTGCTCCCACTTTACCTCCACCTGAGGCTGTTCTTGGTGGACTCTGCCATCAGCTGCTGAGCAGACCTTAATCTCTTTTCTGTGTGGAGACCTCCTTGCGACTCCACCACAGAGCACAGTAACAATGAGGTTGGTACCTCCGGGTGTTGGGAGGTACAGAGGAAAGACTCACGAGAGCCATACGTCTGGGAAGGCATGGCTGGTGGGCTGGCGGGTCTTGGGCAGCTGGAGGGTGCATTCTAAGTCCTGTTGGGGTGAGGTGAGGAATAGAGCACAGGTTGCTGTCACCAGTAGCCTGTCCCTTGTGTGCTCTGAGGATGGGACCACGTGCCTGGACTCTGTGCTTCTCTCTCAGCCCCTAGCAGCTATGGCTAGGAGTGCTGGTGGCATGAGGGTAGACAGGAGGCCAGGGAGAGCCTGGGGCCCTTTGTCACAGCTGCTCATGGGGCCAGGAACTCAGCAGCTGTTTGGTAAATGCATGGCAAGCTTGGAGAGTAGACTAATTGCCAAGGAAGAGTTAAAGAAGAGCTGGCTTAGGATGCATGGAGCTGGACTCCCCCTTGCGTTTCTTCCGATGACAGACCCTGTCTGATCAAGGGGATGAGGAGAGAGACAGAGGCAATGAGGAGGAGTTTGGGTTTATCTTTCTGTAGCCAATCAAGGAACAATTTCTACAAAGACAGGCCCTAAAAATAGCTCCAGGCTGGCCACATCCCTGCCAGCTGCACCCAAATGAAGGGCTTGTGTCCAGCTTCTACAGTTCAGTGCCCACTGGGCTCGGCCAGCAGCTGTTGTGACACAGGTGACACGGTTCCCCTTCCCGGGAGGGAGTCTGTGCCCCAGGGAGGCAGTGGACTGGAACCAGACCCTGGGCGGGAGGCACTGGTGAGGAGGGGCTGTAGATGCGGCACCCGACACTGCGGCTGGGCCACCAGGGTCTGGGCAGGAGACCCTCCATCAGAAGGGCTCGGGCAGTTGCAAATGCTGTGAAGAAACCTGAGGAGGACGAGGGGCAGGAAGTCATGACTCGAGGGTGTGGTTTAGGAGCTGGCCTGGCAGAGGCCCTGGGAGGCTGCCGTGAAGGTTGGCCTGAGGCACAGGGATGTGGGGCAGCAGCGGGCTGTAAGGCAGGGGCCAGGAAGCACCGAGTCCGTTCCTTCCCCCTAAGCACACGAGGTCCGTCCTTGGAGACTGGAGAGGAGATAGGTCTCTGCTCCTCACCTCCAAGTGACTGAGAGGGGCTTCCGTGGCCCCTTCAGCTGATGGTGCCTGGGTCCTTGGTGGCAGAAGCTACTGGCATGTGGCAGGGGTGGAGGGAGACAGAGGAGGGCATTTGCAAAGTTGAGAGCAGGGGACCTACCTTGCAGCCCAGCTGTTGGCAGGGGAGAGTGGACAAGAGTTCCAGCAGAGAGCGTCTGCCCAGAGACTGCAGTGCGTGGAGGAGGGCCACAGAACCCCCAGCCAGGGAGAAATGGTTTGCCTGTGTCTGGAAAAGTCTGTGGGGACAAATAAGGCTTTGTGAGCTGTGAGTCAGCAGTAGGTTCCCACAGGCCTGGAGAGATGAGACTGCCTCAGGCCAGCGCCACACCAGGGAGAACTCGCCTATCCTCTTCCTCCTCCCCTGCTTGGACAGAGCTGGGGTCAGCAAGCTCTGCAGCAGGCTGAGGACAGAACAGAGGGATGATGGAAGGGTGGCGGTGTAAGGGGCCATGTCTTCGCCTGCCTCTGCAAGCTGCCAGCTCTGGCTGCTGGTTGGGGGGCAGGTGCTGTCTGGGCAGAGCCTGCTGGACAGTTCGATTGCCAGCTGGGGCTGGACACTTGGGATTACTGAATTGGGACTGTGTTTTCAGCTTGAAGCAATGTAGGACTTTCTGTCGCCAGGAACCCTTAGAAAAGCTGTGGACGTGTGCAGATTCCCATCTGTTGGGCCAATGGCCATCTTCAGAAGGACAAGGAGGGATCAGCACTGTTGGTTTGGAGCTGGGTACACATGGTGCTGCCCCTGTGCATCATATTAGCTACATGAGCAGCACTCAGATGTGTGGGTGAGAGGTTATTTTTTTAAAAGATTTTATTTATTTATTTGAGAGGTAGAGTTATAGAGAGTGAGAGGGAGAGATGGAGAGAAAGGTCTTCCATGCGCTGGTTCACTCCCCAAATGGCCACAACGGCCAGAGCTGTGGCAATCTGAAGCCAGGAGCCAGGAGCCTCGAGCCTCCTCTGGGTCTCCCATGTGGGTGCAGGGGCCCAAGGACCTGGGCCATCCTCTACTGCTTTCCCAGGCCATAGCGGAGAGCTGGATAAGAAATGGAGCAGCCTGGTCTTGAACCGGCGCCCGTATGGGATGCCGTCGCCTCAGGCCAGGCTGTTAACCCACTGTGCCACAGCGCCGGCCCTGAGAGATTGTTTTGATTGTAACACAAATGGGACTTGCTTGCAGACCAGATGTGCAGTGTGAGAGCACGGAGAATTGGGAAGTGGCTCCAGCCATGGGAAAGGCTGTGCCAGTCTCTGAGAGGGAAGGGTTAGGTGCAAGGTGTCTGCTTCTCTTTGTTTCAGTGGAGTGTTGGTGGACTCAAGGCTCCTGTTTTGGCTCTATAAAGTGTCAGATAACCATTTCATCCAGGTGGAGCTGTTGGGGTGCAGTTAGCTGTGTGGGAGGGAGTTCAGAGGGGCAGCAGGGCTGAGGCTGTGTGTTTGAAGCCATCGACACATGGGTGGTGTTTAAAATTATGGGAGCAGACGAGATCCACTGGGTACTGAGCCAAGATGGAGTAGAGAAGCCTGAACACTGAGCCCTGGCGAATGCTGGAGGAAAGGAGGAGCCAGCTCAGGAGGTAGAGGTGGGGCTCTGAGAGGTTAGGAATGACTGACAGCACATGCCGGGCTTCAGGAAAGTGAGCTGTTGGGTCAGGTGCTGAAATGGGACGAGAAACCCTGAGCATAGCATCTGGCAAGGGCAAGGCCCCTGCACCTTCGTGGGAGACTCAGGAGAAGCTCCTGGCTCCTGGCTTTGGCAGCCTTTGCAGCCATTTGGGAAGTGAACTAGTGGATGAAAGATCTCTCTCTCTCTCTCTTTCTCTGTAACTCTGACTTTCAAGTAAATAAAATAAAATTTTTTTTAAAAGACTCAAACCAATGCTATGATATAGGATGCTAGCATTGCAAGCGGTGACTTAACCTACGACTCCCCTCACAAATTAAATTTTTAACTTAGAGAAAACTGTAGATTCTACGCAGTTGTGAGAAATAATACGGAAAGGCCCCATGTATGCTTATCCTGCTTCTCCTGATAAAATCTGCTGGTTCACTTCCCCGTTGGCCGCAACGGCAGGAGCTGCGCTGATCTGAAGCCAGGAGCCAGGAGCTGCTTCTGGGTCTCCCACGTGGGTACAGGGGCCCAAGGACTTGGGTCATCTTCTACTGCTTTCCTAGGCCATAGCAGAGAGCTGGATCAGAAGTGGAGCAGCTGGGACTAGAACCGGCACCCATATGGGATGCCAGCACCGCAGGTGGTGGCTTTACCTACTATGCCACAGCGCCAGCCCCTGTAGTTTGTTTAAACATTCATCTGTTAAAGGATATATGAGTTGTTTCCAGCAATGGGTCATTATGACTAGATTCGCTATACACTTTTGTGTGGTTTGTTTTTGTTTTTTTTTTTTTTTTTTTTTTTTTTTTTTAGGATTTATTTAGGAGCCAGTGCTGTGGTATAGCAGGTAAAGCCACCACCTGCAGTGCTGGCATCCCTTGTGGATGCCAGTTCAAGTCTCAGCTGATCCACTTCCAACCCAGCTCCCTGCTATTGGCCTGGGAAAGCAGTGGAGGAAGACTCAAGTCCTTGGGCCCCTGCACCCACGGGGGAGACCTTGAAGTTCCTGTCTCCTGACTTTTG